GCCTCAGTCCTTCAGGGTGGCCTCGGAGACACCCTGGGCCAGCAGCTCGGCCAGGACGTTGTCCAGGTAGTTGGGGTCAGGGTAGCCGTGGCCCGTCAGGTTGGAGCCGAACTCGGTCTTGTGGTGGATCTCGTTCCACACCACTGTGTCCGACTCCCCCGTGGTGTTGGAGGTGCCAATGGTGAAGATGAGCCGCCGGTCCCAGGCCACGATCAGCAGCTTCAGCACCTGCGGCAAGCGGGCACAGCTGTTGCTTGCCCACCCAGCACTCCAAGCCCTCCTCTGGCCCAGCCCCCAGCACCCCAGGGTGCAGGATTCAGCCCCGGCATAGTGCCCACATGGTGCCACCCTTCACTGTGGCACATCCCAGCCCCACCCTGGCACTGCTGCATCCTTCCCATCCCTTCTTATCCCTTCCTATCCCTTCCCTTCCCTTCCCTTCTCTTCCCACTCCACCCCATCACATCCCATCCCACCCCATCCCATCCCATCCCATCCCACCCTACCCCACCCCACTCCAGTGCCATCGGGGACGCTCACCTTCCTGCCCTTCTCGTTGTCGGGCAGGTAGCAGTGCCGCGGGAAGCCACGTGCCGTAAACTTCTTGCCGGGATTGGGGTGCTCCGGGCCCTGGGTGGGATGGCAGCAGGGTGAGCAGGTGGCACAGGGTGGGGGCACCCAGCTGGGAGGGGTGTCCCCAGGGTGGCAGGTGCAGGTACCTCACCTGGATGCCGGTGGGGATGTCGTAGACGATCCGGATGGTTTTGGAGTCGGTGTAACCCGGGAGGGAGTGGGGGATGAGGTGAAACTCCATCTTCCCGGGTGGCTGCGTGCCCGTCTTCTCCCCGTAAATGGCCTTACAGGTGGGGCACTGCAGGCTGCCGTCCTGCGTGGGCACCCAGCCGGGCATCAGGGACGACACCCGCCCTGCAGCACCCACCACAGGGATGGGTGACCGCAGTGGGGAGGTTCCCCCAGGGGGGTCCCGGCTCACCTTGTTGCCGTTGTTGTACATGGCCAGGAGGCAGAGGAGGTGGTACATATGCCCACACTTGCCCAGCTTGCCCACCAGCTCTGGCTTGATGCCCCTGTGGCTGAGGACGCCCTCGTAGCCAGAGGAGGTGACCAGCCGCTCCATGCAGATGGTGCAATCCTGCTGGGCACAAGTTGATGGGCACCAGCACCCGGGTGGGATGGGGGGGTCACCCCCAGCTCTCTGCCCACCACAGGGGGCTGCCCATCCCCTGCCCACACCAAGCCCCATGCCCAAGCCCCGCAAGCCTCCAGCAGCCCACGGGCTCACCCAGGGATGCCCACTCACCTCATCCGGGGGGTTCTTCACCTTCTGGATGTAGCGGCGCACCACGTCCTCGGGGGTCTTGCCTGCCACAGGCAGAAGGGGGGATGGCATCAGAGCCTGCCCATGGTGCCCCCAACACCCTGCCACCGGGACGGGGACAACACCAGGAGGATGGGGTGCCAGCATGTGGCACGGAGGACCCATGGGCATCACCCCAAAACCCTCAGGAAAACCCCTTGGGGGGCCCAGCCCCGCAGGCAGCAGCACCGCCCATGCCTCAGTTTCCCCTCTGGCAGGGGCTGGCATGGCCGAGGGCACACAGGGACACCAGCAGCTCCTTACTCTTTTTGAGATGCTTCTTCTTGGTTTTCCTGCAGATGCCATTGACCCCGGGCACGGGTTTGATGTCACTCTTGCTGACAGGTGGCGGGTGCAGGATGGGCTTGGGGGCGCGGGTCAGGCAGACGGGCAGCCCAGCGGCGCACATGAGGATGCCCGTCATCCCTGCGCCAGGGGAGAGGTGCTGTCTGTCCATCCACCCAACGCCCATCCATCCCTCCCCCCACCTGCCCCACAATGTCACTCAGCAGTGGCAGGACCCCCCCCTTACCTGCAAGGGCGGGATGGACAGGGCCAGTGCCGTTCAGGTTCTTGACTGGGAGGGCTGGCACCCTGCACGGAGAGGGGATGGGGCTCAGCTGGGCTGGCAGGCTGGCACTGTCCCCCCCCCTGCATACAGCATGTCCCCAGGGCAGCGTCCTCCCCATGGGATGCATGGCAGGGTGTCCCCATGCCAGCCCTGAGCGGATGCTGTCCCATCCACCCAGTGCTGTGTCCATCCTTGGGGACCCAGTAGTGCTGGGGACATCACCTCCTCCTCAACCCGGGGCAGGTGCCTCATTGGGACATCCCAGTGGTGATGCCCGATGTCCCACACCCCCATGGGGACCATCCCCGCACCTCGGCACCTCACCCATCACCTTGGCCATAGCTCCCATGCCTGGAGAGGACCCTCACCCCTCCATGGCTGCCAGCACCAGGACCCCCGGGGCACAGTGCCTCCCCCCCTGCTCACCCACACTGACCCAGGGCACCTCCCATGTGCCTGTGCACCCACGTGTGCACCACCCATGGATGGGTGCGGACCCACATGTTCATCCGTGGCCGTGTGTGCAGCCGTGTGTGCACCCTTGGCTGGGTGGGCACCCATGGCTGGGTGGGCACCCGCGCATGCAAGGCTGGGTGTGCAGCTGGGAGCGCAGGCAGATGCATATGCAAGCAGCTCTGGGGTGGGAGCTGGGGGCTCATGTGCAGGTGCGTGCAGGTATGGATGTGGGGGTGGACAGAGGGACGGATGGACAGATGGATAGGTGGAGAGAGGGAGGGAGGGATGGACAGATGGATGGCCAGACAGATGTGTGGCTGGGCAAGTAGATGGACGGATGGAAGGAATGGGGCACGCACTGGGCTGGAGGACAAGCAAGAAAGCTCAGCAGGAGAGACCTGCACGGTGCCCGAGTGTTCTCCTCACCAGCCCCCGCCAGCGGTGTCACCCCCTTCCCCGATCCCAAAAGCCCCCCCATGCACCCAACCATCGCGGTGATGAGTTTGGCAACGCCCAGCCCCACATGAGCCAGGGCTTGCAGGTGTTTTCCCTCCTGCTCCCAAAGCTGCCCTTACCCACGCCAAGGCAGGGGCAGTGGTGGAGGTCCCAGACCAGCCCCCCCCAAGGGCCTCCTGGCCCCCCTCCTACCTGTCCATGGGGATGTGTGGGATGGGGCCTGCGTGCTGGTAGGGGGACGGGGACAGTGATGGGGACCAGGACAGGGCCTGCTTGGCCCAGCACCCAGCATGCGGAAGCGAAAGCAGCACGTCAGCAGGGGAAGGAAACACGCCAGGACCTGCCCGGGGCTCAGTGAACCTGCCTGCCCGCCCCCGGCCCCCACCTCCCAGCCCCAGCTGGGGCCCCTCTGCCTCTCCCTGTGCCCCCCAGCCCAGGACCGGATCCTGCCCTCCATGGCAGGGAGCTGGGAGGGATGGGACAGGCTCTCCTCTTGTCCCCTGGGACGGCTCCGCTGCAGCCCAGGGCGCTGGCTCCCCTCTGGGGGGGTTCTGAGCAAATACACCGGGGCCAAATCCAGACCAGTTCCCACCCGAGCGAGTGGCACCGGGGCTTTCCCACGCCAGCAAGCTGCCAGCTGTGCCATTGCCAGGTCGGGCTTGGGGCCATGGCCACTCCTTCCTGCCCCTTGGCTGGTGACAGCCTGGTGCCGAGAGCCCCGAGGGGATGCCAAGCCAACCCACCGAGGGGCATGGCCATGGGGTCTTGGGTGCCAGGACAGGGTCACCCACCGGGACACCCCACTGGGGATCCGCTCATCCACCCGGATGCTCTTGTCAAGTTATTCCCATCCATGTAAGGGACACCGGGGCTGTGGTCCCCACAACCATGTGCCCCCCAGAGACCTGCCTGGTGGCACCAGGCCACAAGCCAGGGTCACACACCCCATGCTGGACAGCAGGGACACAAATCCCCTGGGACCGGGCACTCCATCTCCTCCAGCTGGTGTGGCATGACATGGCATGGCACGACACAGTATGGCGTGGCACAGCATGGCATGGCACAGCATGGCATGGCACGGCATGGCGTGGCATGGCATGGCACGGCGTGGCACAGCGTGGCATGGCACAGCATGGCACGGCATGGTATGGCATGGCATGGCATGGCGTGGCACAGCGTGGCATGGCACAGCATGGCACGGCACAGCGTGGCACAGCATGGCACGACATGGCATGGCAGGGCACGGCGTGGCACAGCACACTGCACAAATGACAGCAGCCCCTCGGCAGGGCCAGGGGTCCAAGGGACCACCCGGGATGGGCCAGCAGCTGGGGCTGTCCCTCCTGCAACTACGTCCCCAGGGCGGGGAGCCTGGGGGTGACACCGTGCGGGAAGGGCTGGGGCTGCTTGTGCAAGGTGACAGCAGGGGACAAGGCACCTCCATCTCCCCTTCCCCCCCCCCCCCCCCCGCCCCCGACTCTGCCATGGTGCAAAGTTGCGGATTTGATTTTCACGGAAGACTGCCATGTCCCCCCCTTAAAAAGCCGAGTTAAAAATACACAGGTCAAGAAACTCGTCCACCTGAGCAGACAACAAGCCAACCCAAGCTTTCCACGTTTGCACTCCGAATCACCCTTTTTGACAAGCAAACTCGTAACCTCCCATCTGACAGGTCAGCCGAGGCGCGCCCAGGACCGTTTCGCACAGACCAGCCCCCCGGAGCCCCACGCTCCCCTTGCCGGGGCACCCAAGACCGTTCTATAAGTGACACCGGGAGAGAAGCCAGGGGGACGCGGAGCAGCACCCCCGCTCACAAAGTCCCAGCCCGCGAGCCCCGGGGGCCGCGGGACACCGCGTCCCGCCGCCCTGCTAGGGGCAAACGCCCCTCCAGTCCCCCGCAGCCCCTCGCCCTTGGTCGTGCCACCCGCCACTGCCGCCGTCCCTGTCCCTGTCCCCGCTGGCCACAGGGCCGCCCCAGCGAAGGTGCTGCTCTGGCGGACAGCACCCGGGTAGAGCTTGCGGCGTTGGGAAGCCAGGATGGCGTTGGAGGCGGCGCGGGGGCTGTTGACCAGCAGGCACTGTGGGCAGGAGCAGGGTGTCCCCGTGCTGGCGCCCACCGGCCACGACTGCGACTTGGGAATGGAACCCATGGTGAGGGGATACGCCAGGTCCATGCGACGCCGGAGCCGGCGCTTGCGTTGGGTTTGCCGGTTCATTTGGGACATGCTGCTGAAGTAGATGAGGTAGCAGAAGCCCAGGGAGGAGAGGTCCAGCCAGGGGTGCTGCTTCTCGTAGGCGTTCTGGATGGTGATGCAGATGTCCATGTCATAGGGGGTCCAGGAGCTGTTGTCGTTCTCCCATTCCCACACGATGCCCTTCCCTGGGGCCGAGGATGGGTCGTAGAAGTTCCTTCGGACGGGGCGCATGGTCCCTGGGGAGACAGGGGGAATTAGCGCCCACAGGGTTCCAGCACCCCGGTGTGCTGGTGGAGGGAGCTGTGCCTGCACACTCATGTGTGCGTCCGGTTCCCAGTCCAGCACCCTGCAGGGACAGGGATGCGGAGGCATTTTGGGGTGCAAGCAGCCACTCTCGCCCTCCGCAAAGCACCCCAGGGCGCAGGAAGGGCAATGGGCACCGCACCCCAGCAGGCAGCACCAGCCCCCCCTCCACCAAGCAGCGGCAGCCACGGTGTGGGATGGATCGATCCGCGTGTCTGCAGGGCCATGCCTCCCCGGGGACTCGTCAGGCTCAACAACCCTCCATTAGCGGTGTGGGCTTGGCTGCCGGCCGGGTTGCCGGCGATTGGGATCACGGCCCTGGCCACCTCGATGCTGCTTGGCCCCCAGTGCCTTTTTCCATCCCTCTGGTCCAAGCCCATCTCCACCTTCCCTGGCCAGGGTCTCCCCACCATCCCTGGGATGGGGGGAGCATTTCCCGGTCAGGAGAGGTTTCCTGACAGCAGCAGCAGCTCCGGCCGGTGCTGGCAGTCACC